ACCAGTTGCTTCTCTCAGTTCCAGGAACTCGTCTTAAGCGCAGAGGTGACAGGGCCTTCTCTGTAGCAGGACCACGACTTTGGAACGAGTTACCTCTGTCTGTCAGACAGGCCCCCTCCCTCACAGTTTTTAAATCCTGCTTAAAAACTTACTACTATTCAGTAGCTTTCAACACCAGATGATCTGTGCTGAACCTGTATGCTTCACACAGGTCAGTCGTTATATTTATTATCTGCGATGTTTTTGTGGCTGTATTTTGATTTTATTCCATTTTGTATGTTGCTTTGTGCTTTGCCTGTTTGTTTCTGTCTGTACAGCACTTTGGTTGGTCTTGTCACTGTTTTAAGTGCTCTATAAATAAAATGGTATGGTTATTAACCTACGGTAAATGTGAAACCCATTTGTTTGCTTCAGGGTTGATTTGGATCAGTTCAGAACTTGTAAAGACTGAATCAGTTTTATTAAGTTCTAGTACAAAAAATGTGAAAGCTGAGAAACGGTGGGCTTTTCCCAGGACTGGCCCGGTTCTGAGCACATGCTCACCTCCTGCCTCCTGAAGTTCACCACCACTTGTTCAAACTGCTCATCCCGGGTCTCATCAGCTTTCCCCAACTTTTGCAGAACCTGTAAGAAACAAAGGTCATGTCAGGGAGGTTTTAACGGTACCAGGACCGCTTTGATTGGACCACAACAATTCAGAGACGTGCAGTCAGGGGGGGCAGGTGAGGCACCTGTCATCATGACAAGTAAAATACTAACAATAAGAGAAAATACATTTCACCACTGACTGTTCTATAAAAGTGTTTTCTGAATTATTTCATCACTTCAATGGTCAAAATCGCAGAATTTACACTGTCTGTTGAAACGATGCAGGTGAGGCCGTGTAGTGCTCTGGTTCACCTCTGGGCGCGCTGTCTCATACAATATATGAAGTAGGTGGTTGGAGCATGCCCATTGCAGTCTGTCTTTATATCACCAGTATACATGTTATATTATACAAGTGCTGCACATGTTGATGTTCTACAGACGGTCTAATGTGTTGAATGAATGTGTGTGACATGTTTCTTCTTTCTAATCGGTCATAATGCACGCTGACATACACGAGAGGTGCAGCAGAATCAAGGGCGTCAGAAGCATCCATAATGTGGGGGGGACACAATGATGTGTGTAGGTGTGTGTGCGTGTGCATGTGTGCGCGCGTAAAAAAAAGGTGTTCACTAGTGTACAAAAAAAGCAGCATTTCAACTAGATTCCTTTAATTCTACATATTTAAAAGATATTTCTCACCAAGTTTGTGTAAATTCGGCTGTGGGTTTTAAAGTAATTTTAACTTTAATACACTTTAATACAGAGCATCAGGTCAGAACTATTTCTGTTTATTGTGAAAAAAAAAACATCACCACTGGACTTTTTTACTTGCGTTCAACACTACTTATCTAAATGATGTTTCTCATGAAGCTTGAGGACAATAGGCCCTTTTCACATGACGTCATACAACTTCCTTTCTGACTCGATGCTGTGGATCAGTACTTCCGGGTTTATTTTCCCTCGGGAGACCTGTCTGGAAACTTCACAGAATTTCATTCCTTCACCCTTTATTTACAGAGGTTATATTACAAGATATAGTGCAAGGTAAGGTTAATAAAAACAGTATTTATGTGTTTGTTAGCTGTGGTAACGTTATCCATCATTGCAGCAACTTTAACCACAGTAGCTAAAATATACAACACGGGCTGTCAGTGCTCTAACGTTTAAAGGTTTCCTAGCTATATTAACGTTAATAAAAACAGTATTTAAGTGTTAGTTAGCTGTGGTAACGTTATCCATCATTATCAATTTACCATTCTGTAACTGTGTAAGGAAACAGCCTCCGATTGTAAAGTAAGCTAGCTAGCAGCTAACAGGTAGCTAAACTCTACACTGCTGCTGCCTGTCAGTGCTGTAACATTAAAATGTTTAACTTTATCTATTAATGTTTTGCCTTTATTACTTTTGCCCTGGGGCACAGGCAAGATAACGCTTGTGTTTGGCCTCGCCGCTGCTGTTGTCTCAAAACCACACGATCACAAACCACTGCATCGACCTTTCCGCTCTAACCCTGTCAGAAAAACAAAGTCACTAATCTGGGCGTGATAATGGACCCTTCCCTGAAGCTTAACAATCATGTAAACGTGATTATTAAATCATGTTTCTTCCAACTGAGGCAGCTGTCTAAACTGAAGCCCATATTGTCCAAAAAGAACCTGGAGACAGTAATACATGCATTCATTACATCTAGGCTTGATTACTGCAATTCACTCCTGTTTGGTGTCAGTCAGACCTCCATTGCACGACTACAACTGGTCCAGAATGCAGCAGCCCCATTTTTAACCAGTACAGGCAAAAGAGAGCACATTACACCAGTTTTGGCCTCACTGCACTGGCTCCCAGTTCACCTTCGAATCCAGCTCAAAATACTCATGTATGTCTAGTAATCACTGAACTGTCACAACGTTCACCTGTCACAACTTTACCCAGTCACAACGTTCACCTGTCAAAACGTTCACGTCACAACACTCACCTGTCACAACGTTCACCTGTTACAACGTTCACCTGCCACAAAGCTCACCTGCCACGACGCTCACCTGTCACGACGTTCACCTGTCACAACTTTACCCAGTCACAAAGTTCACCTGTCACAACTTTACCCAGTCACAACGTTCACCTGTCAAAACGTTCACCTGTCACAACGCTCACCTGTCAGAACGCTCACCTGTCAGAACGCTCACCTGTCACAACGCTCACCTGTCACAACGCTCACCTGTCACAACGCTCACCTGTCACAACGTTCACCTGTCACAACGTTCACCTGTCACAACGTTCACCTGTCACAACGCTCACCTGTCACAACGCTCACCTGTCACAACGCTCATTTGTCACAATGTTCACCTGTCACAATGTTCACCTGTCACAACGTTCACCTGTCACAA